CAATACGAGTGTCGCCTTCTACAAAAGTTGACACAATCCATCGATAATAGTTATGAAAATATCTCGATTAAGCACCTACATTTTGAGATGTTCAGTATGCTACCGTCGTCAGGACCTCGACAGGGAACTCCTACATCCCGAGCACCGAGAGGCTCCAGTAAGATGATGAGCGACCTCGCTCAACGCTGCAGAGCAACGGCAACACAAATGCCGAACAAATAAGATACATGGAAACCTGACTTACATAGACGATTTCCTGCGCGTATACAGCCTTTGGTAATTAAATACGATCATATAAAAGAGTGAGCAGAAAAACTCATCCATGCCGCGTCAATGTGCGTGATAGTTGATAGATTTGCAGACGAAACTACGTACTTTTCCCGAAAAATTATTTCTTCATTCAAAGCAAACTTCATCAGTTTTATTGCACACCATTTGAAAAATTTGTAATGCTGGCTTATGCCATGCGCTAATTCAAGCACCACAGTGCATACATTGGATACTTGGAACTTATTGTTGACAGGAGAGTGCTGCAATGTCAACTTGATGAAGAGAATGTGATAGCATACTACTGTAAACACGCAGGGTTCAGGAGCTCGACGATTCAAAGGTGAAAATGTAATGTATAGTTTATAATCTCTATTGACGTGATAAATGTATGTGCAAAATACGCATATTAATAATATTTTCAAAAACTCCGACAGCCTCTAGACATTCAATGACCGGTCCGACACTTCAGCAAACTCGCGTGCGAACTGGCCTGCGAACTCGAATGCAAAACCTAACTTCATTTTCAACTCTGGCACTCATAAATCCTTCAATAATGAACGGATTTTATTCAAATTTGAAATATAAGTATATAATATCAGTAATTTGCGGACGGAATTTTTTCTGATTTTTACATCAATAACTTATTTGTTAATACGGAAAACCTAACTTAATTTTCAACTCTGGCACTCATAAATCCGTCAATAATGAACGGATTTTATTCAAATTTGAAATATAAGTAGATAAAATCAGTAATTTGTGGACGGATTTATTTCAGATTTTTACGTCAATTACTTTTTGTTAATGCCCCAAAATACTGAAACTTGACCTGACTAGGACCTAACCTGCGAGGTGAACGTGAAGTTAGGTTTTTCGTGATAATAAAAAAGTAATGAATGTAAAAATTTGAAAAAATTCTGTCCGCAAATTACTGATATTATCTACTTATATTTCAAATTTGAATAAAATCCGTTCATTATTGAAGGATTTATGAGTGCCAGAGTTGAAAATGAAGTTAGGTTTTCCGTATTAAAAAAGTTATTGATGTAAAAATCAGAAAAAATAACGTCCGCAAATTACTGATATTATCTACTTATATTTCAAATTTTAATAAAATCCGTTCATTATTGAAGGATTTATGAGTGCCAGAGTTTCGAGCTCGCAGGCGAGTTCGCTGAAGTGTCGATTCGGTCATTCAATGTAAAAAAAACTATGCTGGCAAACAATATTTTTTTCAGTTAATATATTTTTGCTACTGCCAAAACTCTAGCACAATGGAAAATATCAAGTCAATCACAAAACGGGACATGATAGAGAATATTTATTACCCTATAAACGTACTACACATTATATGGAAATTTTAAGAAGCAATCATGTAACTGGCGTCAACGATCGTTGTACAAATAGCATGAGACGCAAGTTTCGTCACATCGGCGCGCTCCTCGACACTCACGACCCGCCACCGTCGGAGGCAGAAGAACTACTGACACTAAGTACTGAGGCAAGTCTGGGTCGTCCGGAGCATCAAAACACGGCAGCACTTGGAACGCAACGCGCGTCCGTCTAATGAAAATACGAGACAGGATTATTTCTTTCACTTTATACGACTAATATATCAATAAATATCAGGGATAATTTACAGGCTCGTTGCGTCATACCATTCTTCAATAAGCTTTTTCTTCCGTCTTGCGTTTCATGCACTCTGAGATGAATGCATTATGATTCAGATTAAAAAAAAGACTTGATGAACGTGTCACTTTATCTGAGCAGAACACGGCATCGACGTGACTATATCATGGAAGTTCGAAGATAAATGCGACTGTGGAAAGCGACCTAACGAGCAGAATTCCAGTTCATGCGAGATGGCCAAATAAATAAAGCTCGGTCAGTCAACGCAAGCGAAGAGGCGAACAAACTGCCAGGACATATTTCAGGTATTAAGTGCAGTACTGGAGTGTCAACAGGATAAAGGCAAACACTCCGTAACTGTGACGCCATATTTCGAGTACATGGCGCAAACCAGAGTATACGTACATGGAGGCCTGATGCGGTCCGATTCTGCCATCTGGGCACGATATAAGTTGGTGACTATGAATAAACGTTTACAACTCAAATCACTTTGACATAATAACATAGTGATGTCGGCGCTGAAGGATAGGACTGATGTGGCCTGTCGCCGATTCTTGTAGTTTTCGTGACTTGTTCGCAGTTCTAAACCGAGGCTTGGACGTCGATACCAGAGGCTTGGAAGCTTCATAATCTTTAATCTTTCTTCGTAAGACATGTCCTTCAAGCCTGGAATTATCCTTGTTGCACGTCTTTGAATACTCGCGACTAAATTTGTACCATTTTCAAGTTTTGGTGACCACACGGCACTTTCACAGGGCACGAGAGCAACAAACGACTGCTTCATCGCGTCAGCATCCAAGAACTCGTAGGAGCGTCTGATCAGTCTAAAAGGTTTTTTTGGGTGTATTAGCTTGCGTTTCAATACGGCTAGAAAATTTCAACTTCTTGTTGACTTAAACTCCCGAGATCTTTTTCCACACTAGACTTTTCAATCATTACTCTCTCGTTGCAACCATGTCTTCTCATACTGTAATCTTGCTGTTCATTGTTTCTTCCCGAGGTGAAGTACTTTACTTTACATTTGTACTTTATCGCACAACTGAGCTACATTTTTTTAGTCAACGAAGACCAGTTAATTTCCTTTGGCATTTGGTTCATCACCTGAAGTCAATTTATAACTTTCCTCATAAGTTGAAGAGCTATCATATCCCAATTGTATTCAACTATGCAGGCGTGAAGTGGTGTCTATTAATGTCGACATCTAACAGTTGCTACAGCCAAGCTAGGAGCTGGCCTGGACCAGTACTCTAGAATTGAAACATTTGATGCCCTCATCTAGCACAAAATTGTTTAATACTAACAACTCTGTCTTCGTCACACCTTCTTAATACTGATGCACCTTTTCTTGGTACCGCAATAGTTTTCAAGAATTGGGCAGTAAAGTGATTAAAAAAAATACTCTAACAACAACATGTCCTGTATAACGATGCTCCACATGACTTACCTGCGTGCGTTCCTGCACTATGCAGCCAGAAGATATCTCTGTCCAGCCACGGTACGCGAGCGTTGCGAACGACAAATACAACGCGAACTCACGCACGCTCACATCGAATATAATGGGTATACCAAATGCAGCGTAATTTAAGGGCCTCAAGGACAACCAAATTTTACAGCTCAAATCGGAAAACTAAAATAAATTCAACGGTTACATGCTCTACAACGAAAAAAACTTTTTAGAAGGTATTTATAATTCAACTTTTGAGGGGTCGCTAGCGTAAACGCTAACTTAGCTACGTTATGATTGAAAGACAATTAATATTTATCGCGACATTATGAAGCACGTCCGAAATTTTGGCAGGTTCTACAGTGTGGCGATGATATGAATGCAGTTTTGTGAAGACACGAACTGCAGTGAAAGACTCTACATAAAAGTTAGCCCTTTCAGAAACTAAAGATACCTTTAAGCACGTTGTTTTAGCAATAATTTACGCTACGTTATTCAAAAAACACCGAGCTAGTAAAATCGTGCATGCAGTCAATACAAACAATAAGTAAAACAAATATACACGCCAATTAGGATAGGAAAACAAAAATGGGGTATAAAGTGTCTTTTAATATAGAAGAAACTCTTACATCAACAAACAAGCGTCAAATGCTAGAAAAAAAACACAGGGAACAAAAAATAAACTCGAACAGCCTACCGCACAAGAAGCTGGCTTTTATTCATCTACGCTACACGTTGCTACAAGTAGCTGACAGCTGTACTCACTGTAGCTGACAACTGTGCGAACTGTAGCTGAAAAACTGTACGAACTTTAGCCGAAAAACTATACGAACTGTAGCCGAGAGCTGTCGAACGGTAGCTGAGAACTGTCGAACTGTAACTGAGAACTATCGAACTGTAGCTGACAACAAGAAAACTGAAGCTGAGGACTGTCGAACCGTAGCTGAGAACTGTCGTACTGTCTCTCACTAAGAAATGTTGAGCACTCGCATGGCAAGTGTTCAAATGTGAATTTATTAAGAAAGACGCGACACAAAACACGGTTTCTCTAACTTCTAATTAGAATTATCAGCTCATTACTCTTCAGCTAAGAAGTAAAACACTTATTTACATGCTGTACCACACTTTATCATGACAAACATTCAACTGAACAACAACTATGCAAAATTATATTCAAAATTAAAAGTACTGAAAACACACAGAACATGAACGATCCTTCCACACAGCAAGGTTTAAAAAACTAGAATTAACAACATACAAACACGTGTGATTACAAACAAACTTACGAAATATCACATTGGGCGTCATAATCAATTGAGTTTCAGGAATTAGCTATACGTAGAAAACCTCCACTCATGTTTTCAAACAAGGATTTGGGAGCGCTACTTTTCACAATTTGTTATATTATTGTTCTTTCATCTGCAAGTCCGAAACTCCGATTACTTTACTTGTAATTACTACGATCTGCACGTCAGAGGAGCGAGAAGACTAACAAGACTGATGGACCAAGAAGACTCACAAGTCTGATGGACCAAGAAGACTCGCAAGTCTGATGGACCAAGAAGACTCAACATCCACACGAGATAGACTCAACAGCCACTGCAACTATTGAAGGCCAAAAAAGACTCACTCACAAGTCTGATGACTAAATAAGACCCACCTGAGAGCGCGCGGGAGGAAGACGCAGGAAGTCTGGTGGCAGAGGCAGCAGCAGCGGAGGCCGCCAGTGACGTGAGCGCCGCAGCGGTGTCAGCGAGCGTGGCAAGGATGGCGGCGAGGTCGGTGCTTCGCTAGGAGAAGATGCGAAGAGTTAACATGAGCATCGCACACGTGAATGCGGCTAAACTGTATTGAAAAGCGTGTTTGGGTCAATAATAAAACTTCGGTACGGATTAGATAGGCTAGCCTCAAGTTAATACTCACACCGATGTTATCGGTTTTCAGCAATTTTTTAATTGAGCGAAATCTAACAGCAAAGTGGTGTAGCAGAACTCTTTATAGTGTCCAAAATGTGTATAATAGCAAAGTTCATAAGAATCACACAAAAAGTGGATGGGGCAAATTAGGAAATTCATTGAGCAAGTCAAGAAGAAAATGATGCCGGGCACATTGATTGATTGCCATTGATGCTGAATTTAATTTGCGTCAGAAACTATTAAGTCAACGATTTTTCTCAACTTACCAGGGTACTTTTTCCCTTTGCCTGACCGGCTAACCTCGAAATCTATTATTTTCTAGTTCTAAAAGGAAGATTGAGTACAGCTATATATACCCTTTCCTGACCGAGATGAACGTACAAATCATCTTCTCCAGCACTCGATAGTTTGGTCACCCATTCCCTAACCAACGCTCTCGTAGGCAAAGAGAAACTACCAGATTTGTACTACTCTCAATAATAGACAGAATTAGTATGATAGCTAGACCTAATTTCATTATAACCTGTTATAAAGACATTAACCCTCTACCGCCGTACTATGTCACTCGCCGAGAACTTAACTTTTAACTTAAATTATACGTAAACTATTGAGTGTAGCAACCTAAGGACGTTTGTGCGCAACAGAGAACATTTTAAAGTTGTCGTACGTGGCGACAACCAACAGTGCAAGTCATTTTACGCTCATTAGAACGTATCCTTTTTGGGTAGTAGGCTTGTGACAATATTGTTCTGGTTACTCATATCTGGCAAAATGTAAGATACTCGTTATCTAAGTAACACCAACCTCATTGCAATTACAGTTTTAATGGTGTCCACTTACAGTGATGGTTTTCAAATAAATATCATAGAAGGTTTCATAGATAAAAGACGCAGATTATAACTGTTTAAAAGTGATTCGAGCTAAAAAAATGATGCTATCATGCAATCAATATGCACAGCGATGTCAGGTGCAAATGAGGTTCAACTTTACTTTTCTAGAGCTTAAAGCAATCTGGCAGCAATCATTTCTGAGGTATAAACCTGACATGAACAATGGCCATGGTGTAGATTGAGACACGTTAGAACACGCATGTCTTTCTATTTGAACCTCGTCATTCCACATGGGAACAGTCAAAAATTCATTTCGAACCTGTTGCAAGTGATGACAATAAAAAAGATAACAAATAAGCCAGAATTGAAGTTCTTCAAAATAATAAGTTTGTAGCTAGTGGTATTGGTGACAAACCTGGAGAGAGGTGGCATGACGGCCTGGTGGTAGGATGGCGGCGGGCTGGCGAAGAGTGAGTAGGAGGGCGGCTGTTCCCCTGCACAGCAGCGACATCTCTATTATTATAAATTAAAATAATCTATCTCGTCAAAATCTCCTGACAATTCCTCAGCAGTTATTTTGTTTATGTTACTGCGAGCTTAATTTCTAAGCTTTCCTTACCGTGCGTTACTCATTGCAGTCTTAGCAGTGTTCGCGACAAATATAAGAGTTACACGATGGTCATAAAAACTTGTTAGTGCAGCTATCTTACTCACTTGTTCGTATCGGCTTTGAGACGCTCGAGGAGCCCAAACACCGAAAAGTAAGATCTTTGATCAAGACTCCAACTATTGAAGAAATTTCTACATATTCATATGAAAATGTGAATCAGTTGACAAATATACAAATTGAATCAATTATATAGAAATTGAATCAAAACACAAACAAACGTCAAGTTTGGAACATATTTTATGAGTCATTCTAGAAGTTATCCTGAATACCCGCAGGGATATCAAGGATAATCTTCCGCTCTTAAAATACTCTTTTAAAACAGAAAGAGAGAATAATTTTTGTGTTTCTCCTTCCGGTGAGAGGAGTATACTATGAATTATCGCAACCAAAGAATATCCAAATTATGAAAGTAAATGCATAGAGGCAGGAGTGTTGGGTCTAACTATTCTCTGCGGGAAGGATTACGTTGATTTTGAAGGAATTTGAGAACATGTTGAATAAAGCAGAGAATAGGTATAAGTTTCTTATGTGATGACGGTATGAAAGAGTGTGGCGTCTAGGATGATAGAATATGATGCACTTGAGAGGATCGACGCGAAGATCAAAGTAATGCAGTGGATACCAACAATGATGATGCTAGCGCGCTATATGGAGATCAATAAATTTTGGCCTGTCGTTTGGCCCCATGGCTGGAATAGTTGGTAGTGACACAATATAGGTAGAACGCGTGGAGATAAAAGCCTATAGGCAATACATGACAAGTAAGTTCGAACATGACAGATCAGTTCGAGCGTTGATCAAATGCAGGATTGTATTCACGCGCTCTACTATATATTTACCACTTGCTTCCGGAGTTTTATTACATCCGCAAGTGCCTGAGTCTTGAAGTGCTTTCGTTTCGCTAACAGAATTTGAGAAAAAAATGAAACTTGATTAAACTCGACCGAGTTTTAACATATACTTAATTCTTGCATTAAACGATGGCGTTACGTAGAAAAAAAACTAGTTAAAAAACTTCTAGTTCCGCTAGACAAAATGCAAGAATCAAATCACAAGTATAACGCGAGGAGATTTTTCAATTCTGCAAGCTGGTTTCGTTGCACGAAGATAACCCGACAGTCAACCGTGAGCGTTGCGGGGATTTCATTTGCATCAGTTGTGTTAATTTGAGCAATACAAAGTTGTATATTTCATCGAAGAAACGAGTCAATACTATATTGGTACTGTCAGAACTGCAAGCAAACTGAACTTGGTGCGGTAGGTAGCGAAAAGCTGGTGGAAGAAAAGTAGACCTCTATGTTCACGATCTCTAGCGCCGTAATGGAACAGAATCAAAGGAAGTTTTGAGTAAAGAATTAAACTTGTTACGGAACGAGCAGAACACCTGTGAGCTGATGGATAGGTCATAGAAAATGTAACCTCGTACGGTTTGGGGTTCCTGAGAGCACTGCTTCAGTGACAGGTGATTAACCACTAACATAGCGCAATATTCTAAAATTTAAGATCTTACGAAAAAGCAATACCTACCAATGAAAGGCAAAGGCTGGAGAGTTGAATAATGATACATCGTATATTTTAGAATTACATCGAAAATTGAGAAATTTCCCTATGAAGAATGCCAAAGCCGCCAGAGATATTGATGATGTAAAGAAAATCTTGCCCAAGATAATTTTTATAAATGGCCAGTTTCGTTCGAGTAACCATGGCGTGAGAGGTCACGGCATGGACTCGTAAACATGGAGAACTAAACTCTTACCAAACTGTCGATACACGCAACGTTGCTGGAGTGTGAAATAAGTAAAGTTGTATTTATACTCTCAAAGCAATTACTACAAGTCAAACGGTTATTTCATTTTTGGGATCAAAATGAGATGGACAATTAAAACAAACCATTGGCAGAACGAGTAATTTATCGAATTAAAGAAAACTACTTTTATCACAAAATATTTTCCTGCAACATTTCAATAATTCAAACACAAATTCCCATTCGATAATTTTTTGAGGAAGATTAGAATGATTCTGCAGTTGTCATGTCATGTCGTGATAAGGTACAGTGAAGTCGGGAATGACAAGTATTGTTGTTTAGCAGCAGGGAGCTTCCACACTCAAGCAGTTCAATTGGATGTCTACAGCTACAGATGTCCATGTTGTTCAGCTTGTCAAGGATTTACAATTTTTTTGCTGAGTATGTCTCATGGGGACGTGATATAGAAGAATGACAGAGAGCAATAGATCATGAATATATGTAAGAAAAACAATAGATTCAAGAGACGTGGGAAGCTTTTATCCCACTGAAAGATGGCTTGTGCGCTGGTCACTTGCGGGGACACAATCTACCTCCTACTCAGTTATCAATGCAGGCAAAAAATAATAAATAAAATTTTCAATTCGGTCATATTTTTTATGGAAAGTAAAATTAAACAAAAAACACTAAACAATATGATTTATAAAAATGACCACACTAGAAATAAAAAAGTAGATCAGGCAAAAGTTTAGTACTAAAAATACGTATTCTGCAATGAAAGGACCCTATCATTTACCGATCATAATTGCTGGGGAGGTGTGGCAGGTGGCATTTGCGTGTTCTCCTCTGCCATCCCATGTCAAGAGATCTTCACACGAGTCACGCCTGTGAGAGAATATACCCATGAATGTTGACGTTCTTGATGTTATACATACATGATGTCAGGTGAACGATTTTCTATGCATGCACCTGCAATTAATTGGTAGTAGTTATAATAAACAAAATCAAGTATTAACCTGATGGATAAGGTTCTATCTCATGGTCCAAGTAATGTACCAAGTTGAAAACAGCTCACTGGAATACATTAAGAATAATTATTGCAAAGAGTTTATGAGTACAAATGACACCGCCATGGATTGCAATCCAGTAGCGACACGATCGTTTGTGTACCAGAGCTGCGCCACCAAGACAGTGCCGGAACAAGAGGCAGAGGGAGACTGATTTCCTCTACCTTATAAAGCTAATAAACCCCACCCAGAGAAACGCGTTACCGCGAGAAAGTAAGAGAGAAAAACATTGTCTGGGAGATCTCAATGAACCAACTAAGCTTAAGGTCTAGCCAATAGACTACAGCACATCGGAGGCCAAGGAGAAAAAAACATTTATCAAAACTTTTCACATCAACAGACAAGTAACAAAGTTAGTTCCTTAGTGTCAAACTCCAAGAGGAAGATAAATATTACAATAAATGCCCTCATCTTGAGCAAATGGCAAATAAATAGCGAAGTCACCTTTGCACAAAGCTGTGTAGAGTTGTAGGAACAACATCAGGCACTGACTGCTGCAGCAACAAGGCAGGAGGAAGCCTGTCCTCTCTCATGAGGTCTGCCTCGATGTCTGTGGACATGGTGAGCAGCTGGTCGATGGTCGCATGCACCGCTCCATGGTTTGACCTCAGCACTGCCTGTAAACACAAGCAATTTAATCATCTGAGACAGGACAACCTTCTTTGGCTTTTATAGTCTGTACAGAACTTGACCTTATAGCTTTCAGTTAAAAAATTTCTTGGTGATATAAATTGTTCTTAATCAGAAATATGATTTGATTGAAAAAATTCAATCACACAAGGCATGATAGTCTAGCGTGTAAGGAACTTCAACATATGGCTTTGAGTTAGAAATATACATGTAGGTCTTATGTAGTGTTCTATCATTAAAAAAGTAGGGTTAAAAACTGTTCTAAAGCAACTTGTTGAGTTAGTTGGAAAGAATGCATAAGCCTGATAGGAGTAGGGAGGTAAAATATTGCCCTTGGTTATCATCCTCAGTTGCTTGTACCTTCAGATCATAATTATTTTAAGGTCCAAATTAAAATGAAACATAATATTCAAGAAATCAAAAGGCCTGTAACATTTGAATAGTTTAAACAATAAAACACTTTTCAATAAAACAAATTCTCATCACACAATTGCATGCAGGGAAGAACACATCCACTGGGTTATATGACAACAGAATTTCAAAATGCAAGACGAATGTGGCAACAAATATTACAGATCAAAATAAATGGGACAAGAAGTAAAATTTTGCATATTCAAAAATAAAATATAGCTCAAGAGTTGAGCACTTGGTGTGATCAATACTAGGTATTTCAGGCTATCCACTTCTGTGAGTCATTTGGACTGAGATTTAAATTCAAGAAAGTTGAACGCAGAGTGGAATCATACCAGACGAAACTCAAGGAGTATTTCATGCTTTAATGAAAAATATATTTTAATAAATAAACTACCCTTCATGGTAAAAAGATACAGGAATAACAGTGATTACAATATTTATACCATTTAAATATTTATAAATTTTGTGGCATAGGAGCAATAATCCAAAACCTAAATACAAGAAATATATAGTAACATAATGCATGATACAGGGTGTGCCAGAGAAACTTACTTATATGAAATGTCAATAAAAACAAAAGTACTTCAAGGATTGTTTTAAATTTTTTCTTATTTGAGAATACAATTTCCCAATTTTTTTTTTCATACAGTCTTGAAAATTAAATTGGATAAATGGCAACCCCCATTGCGCATACACTGATGAAGTTGATTTTTTTATATTTGTATCCACTCTTGGCAACATATCAATCGGTATGTTGGCAATGGCATTGCGAATGTTGTTATTGAGGTGTGCTATGGTCCGTGGTCGATTGGCATAAACCAGAGATTTCAAATATCCCCATAAAAAGAAATTGCAGGGGTCAAATCTGGAGAGCATGGCGGCCATTGTAGATCGCCGCTGAGAGAGATGAGGCGGTCGGGGAAATGTTGTCGCAACAAATTCATCCAGTATCGTGCTGTGTGTGTTGTGGCTCCATCGTGCTGAAACCACTCGTTCCTAACGTTCATTTCTTTGAGTCTTGGAAGAGTGAATTCCTCGATCATGTTCCTGTAACGAGCTCCATTAATGGTAACTGCGCGTTCATTTTCTTCAAAAAAAAAAAAGAAGAAGGATCAATTATTCACATTACCAACATTGCACACCAGACAATAACTCGCTCACAGTTAAGTGGCTTCTGGTGAAGCTCACGTGGATTTACACCATACCAATAACGCATGTTTAGCTTGTTAGCGCAGCCGGAAATGTGGAAGTGAGCCTCGTCACTGAAAAAAACTACCGCGTCTTCAGGCAGGTTGTCAACCAGCATTAGGGTACGCACACAGTGAAAGCAGGTTTGCTCGCGCGGGCAACCTGCTCCAACCTGCCACAAGAATGAACATAGGATAATAATCTCAGTGCTCACAGTGAAAACCTGTATGAATAGGCTTCTGTATTCTATGGTTTCAGGCACCAGCCTGAGCAGGTAACCAGCACGCTGGCAACCTGCTTTCACTGTGTGCGTACCCTTACACATGCATTTTGACGAGCAACAAAATCGCGTTCAGTTAATTCTTGCACAACAGCAAATTTATTCAAGAAACAAACTTGGGAACTTTCCCCTTCAGATGCGCCCTCTCTTGCTCCTCTACCCACGAAACTCGCCGCGCAGGAATTTTTTCAAATAAGTAAGTTTCTCTGGTACACCCTGTACTTATTTCCTTTATCAATAATAAGAACAAACCACCCACCTCAATCACACTGGCATCCATCTCAGGGAACATGAAACGAAAGTCTTGCATGGCTTGATGGAAGTCAAGCTGAGTAGCTTGAGCTCCTACACCAGCCATGCTTTGTAAAATAAATTTAACCAGCAGCCTGTTGGAGCAAAAATAATATTCATTACTTCTGATGACTCTGGCCTCTAATGTTACCAAACTTATGTTATACCCTATTTTAATAACAATTATAAAAGTACCGGTATCAAAACAAACCGTAATTTCTTTTTTATGTGGAGCTTAGGATTAGTTGGAGTGGAGCAGCTGAAAAGAAATTTTATTGAATCATTTTTCAGCAAGTCAGATTGTGATTTTCCCTGGCATTTGTACATCAAAAATTGCATTTAAAAAAATAATGAATTGAGGGCGTTTTGAATAAAAATTATTTATAATCATGTATAATGAAGGTTTTCCATCACTGAAAATTGAGATTTAGGAATGACCTAATTACAAAAATAAGGTATCCTGGTACGCTCGAAAATAAAAATAGAAATTGCTCTGATGATAACTTCCAAGACCTGTCACATCCAGACAGCAGTGTCTTGGTCAATTCATAGCCAAGGTCATAACCCTAATTATGAGAGCTGCAGCTATCACAAGTAATGCAGCATCAGAGCACTGCATGATAATACTGGTGCAAGTTTCCAGTGGCATGTGAGTGATGGTCTTGTGAGCCTGTCTCATGTGGTTCCTCGGCCCTCCAGACAGGAGGTGGCCTGCGAGATGGTTGCCATTAATGTTTATTGTGGCCCAGGGTGGGCAGCCAGGAAGGCCACTGTCCCCACAAAAAGAGGAAACACTGAAAGTTAAAAAGGTGAAGTATAACAGATAGGGACTGCATGGTTAAGGATTGGGCATGTGATGGTCTGATAGGTGGTAATGATGTCTTGTCCTTACAAACTCAGATGTGGAACTTGTCCTTACAAACTTAGGATGTGTGTGAGATTTTTATGCATCAGGGTTAAATAGTGGGATAAAGGACTAGCCAGGAACTAGGCTCAAATTCTTGGTAATGGACCAGTCAGGGGCACCACTAGAGGAGTGTAGTGAAGTCTACCTTTACTGTTTCAAGCCTTGGGGACAACTTGAGGTGTGAGGGCCCTGAGGGGGTTCAAGAAAATTGAACTGCAGATATTTTGTCTTCCATACATGTAAAAATTATCAGCAGGACATTGATTCATTTCTGTAGCAATATTCTGTGAGTGAAAAACATAAGTAAAAGAACAAAAGTGAGTTGTATAATGAATGTGAATCTTAGAACAAAATTGAATCATATAACAGAAGTGGGTCAAAAAACAACTGTGAGTTAAAGAGCGAATGTGAGTCCAAGGACAGAAGTGAGTCAAGGAACGAAAGTGAGTTAATGAACAAATATGAGGCAACGGAGGAAAGTGTGTCAAAGGACAAAAGTGAACTAATGGAGAAAAGTGAGTCAAAGAACAAGAATGAGTTGAAGAAATAAAGTGAGTTGAAGAAGGAAAGTGAGTCAATGAATGAAAGTGTGTCATCAAAGGATGAAAGTGAATCAACAAATGGAAGTTAGTCAAATAACAAAGTGAGTCAAATAACAAAAGTGAGTCATATAACAAAAGTGAGTCAAAAATGGAAAGTGAGTCAAAGGACAAAAATGAGTCAGGGGCCAAAAGTGCGTTAAGGGGAGCATCTGGGGTAAAATTTTGAATTTTGGCTTTTCTGGTTTTTAGTCTCATCTTAAAGCTGACATTCTGCTCTATACAACGGTACCAAAATCATCTCTGTACGTTTATTTATGCGTTCACGACAGCTTGTGAAAGGGGGGGGGTCAGGGGAGTTCTTTCACATTTTAGGTGGGTGATAATTCTCGGTAGCATGCATAAATAGCTAGTCCACATACGATGTGCTTCAGTAACCTGCCTGCAGTTGTACGGGAGGGGTTGCGTGTCATTGTTCCCACCATCCTTCAAGCAGTAGAATCAAGCTGCAGTAACGCTTAGTTTTGTATCCTTGCTACAATGAGTGTCTATTTTGATGCGCGCGGGACTTTGTCGCACTCTCCTGAACATTCACACTTATTGTCACTGCAAACCTATCTACTCCTAGAAATTTGAAGTTACAGCAATGAGACATATACCATTCGATTTGCAAAGAAAAGATCTACAAACTGATGGTGGGCTTTTTCCAAGTTCGTTATAGTTCGGATTTTTTTTTGCAAAAAGGGGGGAAAATGGAGGTAAAATAGAAAATTTTGAAAAATTTTGGACAAAATGCTCCCACAAAAATGAGAAATTCAAAAAAACCCCACCATCAGTTTGTAGATATGGTCTTTACGCATCACATGATATGTGTTTCATTTCAATGTTGTAGCTTGAAAATCCTAGGATGAGACAGGTTTTCTAAAGTGCCCCTTTTTTGCCATTTTCTAAGAATTTCACATTTTCTTTCAATTTTTTTTAAAAATTGACATGAATAAAACCTGCGTTATTTTAGGGTTTACACATGTGTACCAAATTTCAAATCAATCCGTCTGTAAATAACCAAGATAAAATTTACCCCAGACACTCCCCTTAAAGGATGACAGTGAGTCAAAGAACAAAAGAGTCAATGAACATAAATGAGTCAAAGAACATAAATGAGTCAAAAAAAGTGAGTAGGTAAAAAGAACAAAAGAGGGTCAAAGAATGAAAGCGAGTCAAAGAACAAAAGCTAAGTACAAGAATGAAAGTATGTCAAAAAAAGGAAGTAGGTCATAGAACAAAAGTGAGTCTGTGACATTGCTCTGGGATGCTTGTCACATCAATCCACACCTTCCATCTATACCCAGCAGAATTATAACATAGTCCACCTCAAACAAAACCCCATTTTCTTTGGGACAAGCAAGCCACTCTGGATGCTTTATGTACATGCAAACCTTCCCAGTCTGTTCCGCAGGCGCAGTGATGTATCGTTAACACCTGGGTTACTCTTCCCCGGGCCCACTATGCAGAGTGTGCAAGCAACGTCGCCAAGATACAAGTTTCCAGCCAACAACGTCGCCGGCATTACTCGATAGTTCTCGCCGTTGCCGCCAGAAGCCTTCAGGATGCGTCGCCGAGTAATTTTTCAACAATGAAGCTGCTAAAAGTTCAAAGAGTATATCCCCCACTCCCCAGGAACTACAGCAGTCAATGTGGCTTCCGCATCGCAACCGATTCCGCCATTTGCAGATTGTGATGCAGCTGTACATTCTCATCCGACAAACCGGAAAACAAAAAGTTATCAATAAGTTAAATTTTCAAATTTTTTCAACAACAAATTCACTTGAATCAAATAGTTCTTTAAAAAATCTCAACGCAATGCATCGTAGCGCAAAAAAACTACGAAAAAAAATCTCAACGCAATGCATCATAGCGCGAAATATATAGAAACTACCGTTTAACCACTAAATGAAGACAAGTTTAGTTAAATGGCCAAATGTCTACAAGCGCTTCAGCTATCGATCTATTTCGGACGTAAATCAAGGCATTACAAAGGAGGTGAAAAGTCTTCAAATACTGAGTGAATCAAATCTAAATTTGGTATTACTTTAGATTAAGTGTATCCAAAAAAGGGTGTTTTTTAATTATATGTTTTTTGGGGTGTAGATAATGAATCTGAAATCCGTTTTTGGCGGTCGGCATCGGAAAACCGATTTTTTATATATTTTCTATAGAAAACGACAATGGGGGAACCGGGGGTTCTAGGGGGGGGACACGCCCGAGGCTCTAATTCGTAAAAAAAAATCAGGCAAAAATCGCACCTGAATCTAAAGATGAATAAAAGTAACGACTGACCGACGCTAAGTTTATGTATTGGTTAAGGTAAGTAAACTAACTCTCGCAAAGCTAACCACGGTCATAGGCCTCTTGGGGAAAGGCCCGTGGTATATAAATTAAAGCCTTAACGCGCCTAAGC